GTCTACTGACTACTATCCTTATAAGAAGAAAAAAGGAGGGCCAGTGAGATAGCTCAGCAGACCAACTGCTGCTTAGGCAAGCACAGGAACTGGGCTTCGATCCCTGTACCACATGCTGGGCTGGTCCCATTCCCGGGTGTTGAGCCAACCAGTGAGAACAGGCGTGGTGGTACAAACCTGTAATCCCAGTGCTGGGGAAGCTGCATAGTGAGACCCTATACCAAATATTTTTTTAAGATGGAAGGAAGGAAAGAAGGAAGAAAAGAGGACAGAGAGAAAATACAAAGACAGAGAGAATTAAACCATCCCAAGTCAAAGATCTGTTCCAAAAAGAAGAAGATTCTCCCCTAAAGCCTTCAGAGGGAGCATGGCCAAAAACAACAGCTGATTTCAGACTTCTGGCTTCTAGAACTATGAAACACTAAATTTTTGTTGTTTTAAGTTACCTGGGTTATGGGAATTTGTTATGCTTCCCCCCTTCCCTTAGGAGTATACTAGATGTTATGGTCACACTCTCCTCATTAGGGCTCTGACTAAAACAGTACCTATCAAAGTGTATGTATTTGGTCTCCATAAGCAGATACTGTGCCTAGAACTAAAGGAAATAATAGTTACTTTAATGCTATCTCACAGGATCTTTGGGATGAGGTAAATCAGTAATTAACATCCAGTATGATATCAACAAAATAAAGAACTTCCAAAAATGTGAACATTCTAGTCCTCAAAATCTTCAAATATATGCAAATGACTATGGGTATAGTTTACTTGTAGAGTATGTACTTATTAAGAACACAGCTTTAGGTTTGATCCCTAGTACTACACACACAACATTTTTTTCTTTTTTGCACCCCAGCCCAATAATTTTTTTATATGACGAAAACTTTTTTAAATATATTCAAGGATTGGAAGATGATATAAAGGAATTATCTTGCTTACCCAAGTGGATGAAAACTAATCACCTGATTCTTTCAGAGTGGAGAATGTTTCTCACATGTGCTCAGACAGGATGTAATTAAGAACAGAAAATCAGGCAGATGCTACATTGTTGGATTTCAAGCTGGAGAAAGGGAGCTACAACCTAAGGAACGTGTGCAGACTCTAAAACTGCAAGATATCAGATTATTTTCTAAAGTTACCTAAAGAAATGCAAAATTTCCAATACATTGTTTTTAGTCCAGTGAGACCTATGTTGGACTTCTGGCCTACAAAATTATAATATAAGAAATTTCTTTCAGCTACTACACTGTACTCATTTATGTCAGTAATAGAAAAATGCAAATGACATCAAATGAAGCTATTTTTGCCATCAATGTTATATTTATCATTGCCCCATATAATTTAAGCATCACAAGTACCTGATCTCAGTGTCTTATTTATCCAGAAGCCTATATGCCAATTAATTACAAGAGAATGTCCAACTAATTATTATGTGATGGTACAGTTTAATACCTCTCCCGTGTGGCACCTTCAACAGATTCTATGAATTTAGAAAGCAGAAAATCTAACTCCAAAATCCCATGCTGAGGGTCTACAATCTAAGAGTCAGCAAACATTTTGTGTAAAAGGGGTAGACAGTTAATATTTTAGGCTTTGCAGCCAGATAGTCTCCATCACAAATTTTTCTCTTTGCTCTTATACAAAGAAAGCAGCCTCAGGCAATATTTTAATGGAAGAACATGTCTCTGTTTTAATAAAATATTTTGTAGCAACAGGCAGCAGGCCAGATTTTACCAATGGATGTAGTCTAATCCCAGATCCACTTTAAAAACCATTATCTAACCTGCTTCTATAGAAAAATTTGTAGCAAGGCATAAAGTGCTAATGTTTCACGAAAAGGTACAATCTTAGGGTTTTGGTAATAAAGGAAAATAAAGAAACAAAATTAAGATGATTCATTATCCAACTAACCACTAATTTATGTGGAGAATCACAGAGGGATATATCTGATCATTTAGCAGTTGTTTCATTGGTATGAACTTGTAGCATATTTCTAGCAGTTTATGTTAACCAAACAACCAGAATTGGACAGGGATGTCCATCACTCTAGTCAAAAGGAAGGGAGAAAAATTTCATATATCTTGTTAAGAAAGCCAGATTGAAGGTTCTACACTATGGCACATCTTCCAAATCTGGAATGAGAGGCGATAGACTGTAGTCATAGCCAACTTTAGGAAGCAATACTGTAATGAAATTAACTCTGTCAAAATGCAGATAAAACAATAGCCAAAGGTTAGGGAGACAGACAAAGCTGAGAACCTCAATAGAGAAAAATCATTACTATACCCAATAAGTTACCATTTAAGAGCATTCCTTTCTGTTTGATAAACCAATGTGCATTTTTGTTGTAAATGTATCTTGGGGGTAATATGTTCTATCTTCTGATTTTATGATACTATCTTGCTTCTGTAAGAACCTTAGCTTTAGTGCTTAGCTATTTCTTTAACTTCACCAGAGAACTTCAAAGGAAGCTTTCCCTTCTAAATTGAATAATCCCAGAAATGCATAATTGCTTAAAATTAATCTATTATATTTCAAAAAACTAACAAATCAAGGAATCATCTAGATCATAAACATAAAATGCAGCCAATAAAATTCTACAATATTCACAATTTAAAATTCTTAGAATTCTGTAAATAGGTGGAAATTTTTTAATTTCAAAAGCACTAGCCAAAGGCCTTTAGCAAATATCCTACTTAATGCTCAAATCTTAGAAGCATTTCCTTTGAGAATGAAAACAAAGGTAAATTCCCACTAAGACCAATTATAAGCAATATTACAGAGTCATAATCAACAAAACACTAAACTATGCTATATATATGTAACTATAAATATTAGAAAGGAAGAAATCAAATTTATCTACATTTGTTATGCTTTAATATATAACTTGGCCAGAAAATCTAGGGACAGTTATTAAAAATAAACCATTCAATAATGTAGGTAAATTTTAAAAATGAATAGTCTTTTATTCACTAACAAGAAGTAAAGTAATTTGGTCAAGGTTATATGCTAATTAGTCTAGCCATAATTCACACAATCTTCTGATTCCAGTATTTATTCATTTTGCATTCCCTTAATTGAAACTACACAATTAGCACATATTATATTCATTCATAAAAATCTGAATACCACAAGGAATATAGGAATAACTTTTACTAATTTTCCCAATTCTAATCTCTAGTATCCTTCCAAGATTTGTACATATCCTTCAGGCTTTTTATATTGAGAAAATAAATGTATGAACACAAATATAAATACATTGTTCCAGTGGCTTTATACATTACTGCTCTACAACTTTTCCTTTAAAAATATTTTATAATATATTCTGGTTTTTTGTCAGAAGAATAAATATTTAAAAATACTTTACATCTAAAGGAACTTTTCAGTGTATTTGTACCAGGATTTGTTTGTTGAATTTTGTATTAGTACATTTAGACCATCTGAAATATTTTGCCCTATAGTCACAAAAATAGTACAGATAACCAAAATTAACTTTCTAAGTCATAATGAATTGTTTAATGCATGTTTTAAATGTAGATAATGTTAAATTTCCCATACTGATGGATGAACCTATAGCTATGCACCCATGTAACAATATCGTTCTCATTAGCCAGCACTGTTAGTTTTTAAAGTTTTTATTATTTTGCAAATATGATGAGGAAAACTGGTATATTGGTAATCTCTGGGAAAGATTTAAGGTAGAGATCTTGTTTTTTTTTTAATGGACAGTAAATTGTCCAATGCCATTTATTCAATAAGTTAACTATGTCCCAAAATATCTTCTCTAAAATATACAAGATTTCTCCAAATGCCTTAAACATTTCAGAAATATTTATTTAGATCCACTGGTATTCTCGTATACCCCTGAAACCATATTACACAGCATTTCTTTTTCAATAATGCCTTGGCTATTCTTAAACTTGTTCTTTCTCTGGCCAATTTCAAAATCAGCTTCTGAATTTTTAATAATTAATAAAGTTTAAT